ATGACTGATTTGAAGTGAAATTTTTATGCTTTTCATTAAATTGAGCATGGCTACTTGAAATTTAATTGATTGTCCTGATGATTTGAAAGTGATTGATGAATTATGATTTTTCTATTAACTTCTTCCTGTTTTGTCTCCGATGTGGTTATGTTATTAATGATCCTGCTAGTGGGGGTTAAACGCTAGCACATGTCAACATGTTATTGATAGAACCGGTTCGTGCAAGTGTAGCCTGCCAGTGGGAGGTTTAAACACTGGTCATGACCTATAGAGGAGACGTCTATTTCATTCCCGTACTGTATCCTTTTTTCGTGCTTACATTTGTTGGCATGCTATAAGTTTAATAAAAGGCACTCCATATTTACTTACTGAGGTTATCTCATAGTTTTTCCTTGTCCACCATTCCAGGAAGCGAAACCCAAGACAGGGAAAAAATGGGAAGTGACGAATTAGAAGGCTAGCCATTTCGAGATTGATATAGATTTAGATATAAATTATGATCTTGTAAACTAGATTGTATTTGGAGATTTTATGATATCAGAGAAATTTTAAAATTTGATCTTCAGATTTTGTGGTATCAAATTGTGATATGGTTAAATTCCGAGCCTTGTGCATTTGTGGGACCTTCTCACAAGTGCACGTCGTCTGTCGCGTCTCGAATTTGGGTTTTGGGGCGTGACAGATTTAGTGGTATCAAAGCTTAGGTTTGAATTAAGAGCTTAAGATTAAATTAAGCACCTCCAGATTGAGTGGTATCAGAGATTAAGTTTAATTAAATACCTAGGTTTAATTGAATACCTAGGATTTGTTTGGAACTTGGCTTTGTTTGGAACTTGGCTGGCCAATGGATTTTAGAACCATGGTGAGATGAGTGATGGGGTTATATAAGGGACGATTCTGATTCGTGTTGCCTGAATGTTCTAATTTTGAGGAGATGGTAATCTGATTGTTCTTGTTCCCTACCTTCATACCTTGTGAATCATGAAATTAATCTTGTCAGCCATGTTCTTAAGACCTCGTTTTGAAACTTGGTCATTTTTTGATAGCCTGCACTTGTTTAGACTTGTTACTTGAATAGAATTTTTGTATGCTCTTTTGCCACAATTGTAAAATCTCGGGAGTGCAGAAATCTTTCGTTATTGATCCTATTGGTCTCTACAGCATAGCTGGTTGAGAAATTTGTTCTGTTTGTCACATGACTAGTGGAAGATGGGCAACCCTCTACTTTGTAAGAGATTCAAGGTTATTTTAGCAAATGTTCTGTGTTTTCTAGATGCGTTCTAGGAGCTGGATAACTTGGTAATTCCATTGCTCCTTATCTTCTGAAAGTCTTATAGTGAAGTTTCACTTTTTCCATTTGGAGCTTCATGGTCTTTTCATGTGGCTCATTTTTCTATATTGGTTAATCAAAAATAGTGATCATTCAATTGAAATTGCCATGTTTTTGTGAAGATTGGCAAGTTATCATAAAGTTAAACTCTCTATTGTTGCCAATCTCTACATTCTTGATACCTGGAAACTACTTGAAACTCTTGAATCTTTCTTGAGATTGCTTTGTACTTGTTCTTGAAATTGAAATCCAAAGAAAATGGATAATGATTATTGAAATCCCCATTATCTTGATACTTGTCTGAAATTAATTCTTGCATTGTTCTTGGAACCTTATCTTGAACCTTGCTTGGAGTAAAATCATGTTATAATCCTTTTCTTGAAAATCAATTGATATTTGGAATCTATTTTGAATTGTCCTTAAAAGCCATTTTTGTTCTGACACTTGCTTTTGCTCAAATTCTGTATACTACTCATGTCCAAATTCTATATACTGCCCTTGCTCAAATCCTGCATATTCTGTTAGTTCTTGTTTTAGTATACCAGTTAATCTTCTTGATTTTGATTTTGTTCTTATGGACACCTCTTTAGGAGGGGTGATGATTATTAGAAAATACCTATATGAGGCATCCTGATTCCTGTCTCTTGCAAGTGTTAATCTCTGTATTCTTGATGTCTAGGATGACTTGATTGTAAATCTGCTTAGCCTTCATGGGCTACGAGGTGAAGGGGTAGTCTTTGAAGTACCTGATGCCCTAGAGTTTTGTTCCAAGAGAAATGGTTCTTTTATTTGGTTGCTTTGATTTTTGTTTGCCCTTTTAATTAGAAGACAGTAATCTTTTAAGTATCTTAATCCCCACTATTGATTATTCTGTCAATTAATTCGTGTTACTTGGGTGCTAGATCTTGACATCCTGGTTATATCTGCTCTTGAATTCTTGTTCTCATTGTTATTATTGAAATTTCTTTTTTGGGCCTAATACTTGAATTCTATTGCTTGTTTCATGGTTAACTCTTGTCTCTCAATTTTGACTGCTCGGTTAAATTTGATCTTAATTCTTGGTGAATGCAATTTTGTTATTGAATTTTTGAGGCATTCTACCTTGCACTCGTGTTCCAATATTCTTTCAAGCATTCATATTTTCCACTGATTTCATTCTAATGCTATTCTGGAAATTTCACCTGTCATTTGATGGGTCTAGCTTTTAACTCTTGTTAATTGCTAAAATCTGTTTCTTGCTTTCAGTTGCTTTGTTAAACATGACCTTGCTTATTGGTTAACCTTGTTTTGTGGCAAAATTTATAAAGCATCCATGCACTTGTTCATTCATTCATGATTCATATATCCATTGGATGCTTATCCGTCTTTGATAGAGTTCAAAGTTTTGTTGTACTCGTGTTTAAATCCATGCCATTCTTTGCCAACTCGTCTTGTGTTGGGTTCATAGAGTAACCCCACAATTGTTCTTTTGTGGCTTTGGCAGGATTTATTTTTATTCCTTGTGCTTCCCATGTCACCCCAGCCTCTAGTAGCTTGTTTTCATGGTAAACCCTGTTAAGTAATTAATGTTATACTTTTTAAGATTAGTTTTGGTTTGATATCAGAGTGGCGCAGCGGAAGCGTAGTGGGCTAGGTTTTGTTCATAAAGAGTTGATGGAGCATTTGTTTTGTCTTGGATTGTGTGAAGCCATTCACCAGTCTAGATGATCCTCAATTTGAGTTTTGGGGACAAAACTCATTTTTAGGAGGGGTGGATGTAATACCCCAAAATTTTGTGATATTTTAGCATTAAGTTAAGGATTAAATTGTGGAAAAATATTGTTTTGGGCTTAATAGCCAAAATGTCCAAACTTGAGGGACTTAAAAGAGGATAAATTTGGATAAGGATGGCTTTTCTTTTTTTTCTTTCTTCTTCAGCCCGATTCTGCTCTTCTTTCTTCCCCTGCACCGAGCAAAACAAAAAAAAAAACCAAGCAAGCCCGACAGCCCTCCCTTGAAGAAACCGATAAGAAGCTTGGTTTTTGCCTTCTTTTCTTGTCCAAGAGCAAGATTTAGGAGCTTAGAAACCTTCTCCCCCTCTGCAGAATTCCGGATCTGCTCTGCTCCTTCCTTCCTCACCGCCGGCTGCTCTTGATTGTGGGTGATTTCTGGGCATTTTTTCGGTAAGAACAACCATTAATCCATCCTTTTAGCCTTGATTTAACTTGGGTTTACCTTAATTGCTCTTGGTTTCTTGAATTTTGGGTAGATCCCTCTAAATTCCCCTGCACTGCCGCTGGCTTCTCCCCCCTGTTAGGTCCGGTTTGCAGCTGGAAAATCTGGTATGTTGACAGCTCCAAGCTTGAAATTTTATCAGTTATTTGCTGCCCTGTGTGTGTCCGAAAATCTGTTGAAAAATAGGGGAGAAATTTGACAGTAATTAGAGCATAATTAAGCTTAATTCATGTATAAATTGCTTGAGTTGGCTG